AGACAGGAGGAGAACCCGGTGGCCGCTTCACCCTGAAAATCCACATGCCACTGACGATGTTCGCCCCAGGTGGGGGAACCTCGTCGACGTAGGTGCGTGTGGACTTCCAGGAAGCCATCTCTGCGTCCATGGCTGTCTGCCACTGAGAGGAGTAGGGACCCGCCATCGCCTCAGCGTAAGTGCGCGGGGTCGGGATGTCTGGTGCATCCGGGTCTCCCTCAGGGGCAACTAGCATGGACACGAGGTGGGGCAAAGCAGCAGCAAAGCACTGGAACTCCTCCTGTCTGTCCTCAAGGACGTCCGTGCCAAGAGCACACCCACCCCCGACGGACGGAGGACAGACAGACTCAGACTCAGCAACAAGGCTAGCGGCGTAGTCTAGACGACAGCGGGCAGCAAAGTCTATCAACTCAGCGACTAGAGCAGACGCAGCAGAGGACTCAAAGGTAGGGTCTGTGACAACAGTAGCGAGGAGACGGGTGACAGTGGGACTGGCAGCACGACGGGAGTCAGACTCCGGGTCAGGAAGAGTAGGCAGAGAGGAAGCAGGAGGAGACGGTAGCGGGACACGCTGAGGAGCAGTGGAGGGACGCAGAGTCATGTAGTGAGTGCCAGGGACAGGAGGAGGACGCTCATGTGGGACACGACGACCAGTGCGAGCAGTACGAACAGGCGACGCAGGACGAGACTCAGGCTCACGACGCTCTGTAAGACCTCCTGTGGGACCAGCGTAAGGAGAGGGAGCAGGGAGAGGCGAGGCAGGCGGGAACTGTGACTGCGACTGGACAGGCGGAGGACACTCTACGGAGGGAGGAGGACAAGGAGGAGGAGCCTGACCAAGAACCTGCTGAAGAAGTGGTACGAAGTACGGTCGCGGCCGCGCAGCGTCTCCAGAACCAGCAGAGACACCAGCGGCAGGGTCCTCAGTACCAGCAGCAGCTCCAACTCCCGGGTCCTCAGCTCCAGCAGTAGCTCCAACGCCCGGGTCCTCAGCACCAGCAGCAGCCCCAACGCCCGGGTCCTCAGCACCAGCAGCAGCGCCACCGCTCGGGTCCTCAGCACCAGCAGCAGCTCCACCACTCGGGTCCTCAGCACCAGCAGCAGCGCCACCGCTCGGGTCCTCAGCACCAGCAGCAGCGCCACCGCTCGGGTCCTCAGCACCAGCAGCAGCTCCACCACTCGGGTCCTCAGCACCAGCAGCAGCTCCAAAGCCCGGGTCCTCAGCACCAGCAGTAGTGCCACCCCCAGGGTCCGCAGCACCCGGAGCACCACTCCGAAGACTGCAGCGTCGCGTGTACCACTCTCGGATCTGCTGAATGGGGGGGAGCTCCTGGGTAGGAGGGGAAGTACCGGGACGAGCTCCAGCAGCACCTCTCCGGAGGCGGCAGTACTCGAGGTACCTCTCCTGCAGCTGCTGGGAGGAGAGGGCTCCTCCAGGTGTAGCACGCTCAGTCTCAGTACCCCCAGACTCCGCACCCCCAGGCTCAGCACCTCCAGGCTCCACACCTCCAGGGTCCGCACCTCCAGGCTCAACACCCCCAGGCTCCGCACCTCCAGGCTCAACACCCCCAGGCTCAGCACCCCCAGACTCAGCACCCCCAGGCTCAGCACCCCTAGACGCAGGACGAGAGTCAACAGCTACCTCGACAGGCTCACCCGGGTCTACCTGGGACACACCTGAGGGAGCGGCACCCTGAGGGGGGAGGGGGTCTGGTACCTCAGCACCTGGAGCGAGGAAGAGAGGCGGGGGGGGGGAGCGGGGCAGTGCGGTAGGGGAAGAGGCGGTAGTAGGGGACGGACTCGTCAAAAGTGACGTCCTGAGAGGCCAGGACACGCCGCGAGGTGGGGTGGTAGAACTGCCAACCAGGGGCGTCCGGGACAAAGCCAAGGAAGACGCAGGGGACAGCGCGACGGGAGAGCTTGTCCGCGGACGTGTCGCGGACAAAAGCTCGAGATCCCCAGACCCGAAAACGCGACGCATCGCCAGCCTCTCCCGTCCAACGCAGTGTCGGAGAAGTCTCGGGCAAGGAGACACGGGGCCAGAGGTTGAGCTGATGCGCAGCGTATCGGACTGCAAACGGCCACAGAAAGTGGGGGGCAGCCGCATGAACCAAGGAGGTACGAGCGACCTCCATGACCAAGCCAATGCGGCGCTCAGCAACCCCATTCTGCTGTGGAGAGGCCGGAAGTGTGAACGACTGCTCAATGCCCTCCTGCTGACAGAAGGCCTCCAAGAGGCCAGAGGAAAACTCTCCACCTCTGTCAGAGTGCAGACGCAGGACAGGGAAGTCCTAGCGGAAACGCTCACTAAGCTGGAGACGAGATCTGCGGATCCAAGGGATCAAGACATCAGGGACGTCACCCTTGGTGCGCAAGGGGAAGACCATGGTGTAGCGCGAGAAGTCGTCAACAACAATCAGGAAGTACCTCTCCTGACCCTGTACGTGCATCTGAAATTCCTCTCCGCCCCACATCCACAAAACATGATATCTCTGCCTCTGCCTGCCCATGCACTTCATTCCTTCATCCTGCTCCACTCCCGCACACTCTGATTCACCGCGTGCACTCACACTCTGATTCACCGCGTGCACTCACCCTGCGCGTCGTCACTGACGAGGCCGTCAACTCGCTTGTGCACCTCCGGGCTGCGGGGGGAGGTGCGGGAGAAGTGGGGGAAGAGGGGGGAGAGGGGGGAGGAGGGGGGGAAGAGGGGGGAGAGGGGGCGGTGGAGGGCAAGGGGTGGCTGGAGACGCGGCGGCGGGTGGAGTGGCGCTTTGGGCTCACGCTGCTGCAGCGGTTTGACTACCAGGCCGTGAACGTGGCTCACTTCATAGGTGCGTTGTTCATAGGTACGCATGTGCTGGTCATGCCATGGTGTATGGTGGCTCATGCTGGCGCATACATGATCACATGGTATGGCACCCAATGTGCCGCACCACACTGTGTGGGTGCGTGTGAGTGGGAAGTGTAGTTGTAGCATGAAGCCGTGCATGACCTACTCATCTGTGCATGACCTACTCATCTGTGCATGACCTACTCATCTGTCTCATACTCTCTTCACACACACAAATGTGCTGCCAACAGCTTTTCTACTTGTGCGTACACCCCCCTCTCTCTGCCACCTCTCCTCCCGCCCGCGGCAGGCAAGGCGTTCACGCTGCTGCTGGCCAACAACTTCACGGACCCGCCAGTGCTGCACGCCCTCGTGGCGCGCTCGTGGTGTGCCCATGGTGGAATGCTTAACTCATGTGATGCCCGCATCATGTGAGGATTGGGATGATGCTGAGGTGAGGCGTCGGCTGCCTTGGGACGAGTGTAACATGTGGAGCAGGCTGATGCCAGAATGTTGACCACATTCCAATAGCACTGCCAATGAGTTCATCTGAGTCGGCCCTGCTTCGGCACCATCCATCCACGCCTTCCATCCACCCTCTCCTTATTCCACCTTATTACGTTCTGCCTCTCTCAAACCCTGCAACACGGCAGGTGGCGCATGGGGGGCGGCTATGCCATCCACGCGTTGGTGCTGCAGGCGCTCATAGAGTTTGCCCTCACGCCCTTACTCACACCGCAGATGCACACCTCCTCTCAGCTGTACGTGCATCCTCTCAGCTGTACGTGCATCCTCTCAGCTGTACGTGCATCCTCTCAGCTGTACGTGCATCCTCTCAGCTGTACGTGCATCCTCTCAGCTGTACGTGCATCCTCTCAGCTGTACGTGCATCCTCTCAGCTGTACGTGCATCCTCTCAGCTGTACGTGCATCCTCTCAGCTGTACGTGCATCCTCTCAGCTGTACGTGCATCCTCTCAGCTGTACGTGCATCCTCTCAGCTGTACGTGCATCCTCTCAGCTGTACGTGCATCCTCTCAGCTGTACGTGCATCCTCTCAGCTGTACGTGCATCCTCTCAGCTGTACGTGCATCCTCTCAGCTGTACGTGCATCCTCTCAGCTGTACGTGCATCCTCTCAGCTGTACGTGCATCCTCTCAGCTGTACGTGCATCCTCTCAGCTGTACGTGCATCCTCTCAGCTGTACGTGCATCCTCTCAGCTGTACGTGCATCCTCTCAGCTGTACGTGCATCCTCTCAGCTGTACGTGCATCCTCTCAGCTGTACGTGCATCCTCTCAGCTGTACGTGCATCCTCTCAGCTGTACGTGCATCCTCTCAGCTGTACGTGCATCCTCTCAGCTGTACGTGCATCCTCTCAGCTGTACGTGCATCCTCTCAGCTGTACGTGCATCCTCTCAGCTGTACGTGCATCCTCTCAGCTGTACGTGCATCCTCTCAGCTGTACGTGCATCCTCTCAGCTGTACGTGCATCCTCTCAGCTGTACGTGCATCCTCTCAGCTGTACGTGCATCCTCTCAGCTGTACGTGCATCCTCTCAGCTGTACGTGCATCCTCTCAGCTGTACGTGCATCCTCTCAGCTGTACGTGCATCCTCTCAGCTGTACGTGCATCCTCTCAGCTGTACGTGCATCCTCTCAGCTGTACGTGCATCCTCTCAGCTGTACGTGCATCCTCTCAGCTGTACGTGCATCCTCTCAGCTGTACGTGCATCCTCTCAGCTGTACGTGCATCCTCTCAGCTGTACGTGCATCCTCTCAGCTGTACGTGCATCCTCTCAGCTGTACGTGCATCCTCTCAGCTGTACGTGCATCCTCTCAGCTGTACGTGCATCCTCTCAGCTGTACGTGCATCCTCTCAGCTGTACGTGCATCCTCTCAGCTGTACGTGCATCCTCTCAGCTGTACGTGCATCCTCTCAGCTGTACGTGCATCCTCTCAGCTGTACGTGCCCTCCTGTTACCTCTCTGTGCTTGCTTTCGGCCTAGATTTCCACAGCCCACACCCACACCCACACCCACACCCACAACATATGTGTGTCACACCCCACTTCCTTCCACTCACGTCATGTGTGTCACACCTGATGCGTCCCCCTCCCTTTCCCTCCTGTCCGCCCATCACCCCCACCCACCACACCCCTGCCAAGGCAGGCACGAGCACCGCGTGTTGGGGGACGACCCCATGGCCAACGGGCTGGTGGAGTTTGAGGGGGCGTGGCGCCGCGCCACGGAAGACGAGCCGCTGTGCTTCGAGCGCGTGCTGCTGCCGGGGATTCTCAAGGTGGGTTCAAGGTGGGTTCAAATGAGGGTATCCCATGTACGGGCTACGTGCTCCAACTGGGCTACGTGCTCCAACTGGGCTACGTGCTCCAACTGGGCTACGTGCTCCAACTGGGCTACGTGCTCCAACTGGGCTACGTGCTCCAACTGGGCGCTACGTGCTCAATTGGACCCTCCCTGTCTTGCACTTTTTCTCCGTCTCTCACCCTTGGCCCACCTCGTGGTACCCCGGGGAAGATAGCGAAGCAGCCCTCCTTCCGTGCGAAGCAGCCCGCCTCACACGCCCATGTGCTGTGCACACCAGGGGAGCATGTCTCCGCTCTCACGCCTCTGCCGAGTCAACCTTCTCCATTTGTCCCGGGGACATCCCACCCGCGTTGCCTGCACGATTGACCACACGGCACAGCCAGCTGGCATGCTCCTCGTCACCCGTGCAGCCAGCTGGCATGGTCCTCGTCACCCGTGCAGCCAGCTGCCATGCTCCTCGGCACCCGTGCAGCTAGCTGGCATGGTCCTCGTCACCCGTGCAGCCAGCTGCCATGCTCCTCGTCATCCGTGCAGCCAGCTGGCATGCTCCTCGTCACCCGTGCAGCCAGCTGGCATGGTCCTCGTCACCCGTGCAGCCAGCTGCCATGCTCCTCGTCACCCGTGCAGCTAGCTGGCATGGTCCTCGTCACCCGTGCAGCCAGCTGCCATGCTCCTCGTCACCCGTGCAGCCAGCATTCCTCCGCAGCACCAGCTGAACGTCAAGCTGCGGCTGAAATCACCACCTGCGAGGGTGCCTTGACAGCCCACTCAACACGCTCTCTCGCTATCTCCACTTCCCCTCAGCGACACGAGCGTGCCTCCTCTGCAGCGGGCCGGCGGCACGGATACGTGTGGCTCGGCAACCAGACCCACCTTCCGGGGCGACCTGTGCGCTCACTCACAATACGTGTGGCGACCTCCCTCCCTGCACGCCCGGTTCTCCTCTCATCCGTAGCACAGACAGGCTAGCAGCAGAGCCGCGTGCACAGCAAGCTGTGTGGGATCCATGCTCTCATTCATTCCTGACCTTCGACCTAATCAACATCGTCACACCCTCCCTTAACTTTCCCCACACGCCCAGCTGTAAACTGCAGGCACCATTATCCTCCTGCCACCTGCCCTTCTGTCGCTTCCTGGTCGCTTCCTGGTCGCTTCCTGGTCGCTTCCTGCAGGAACCAGCTGTACCCCCCAGAGCCACCGTCCTTGTGCCACTCAAGCCTGAACCTCTGTGTGCCTGTGTCGTCACCTCTCTTCCCACTCCTATCAGGGCCAGGTGTTCCCCTCGTCGCCAGCGCAAGCCGGCTACCTGCGGCGCCACCTGCGGGTGAAGCTGCGCCTGCAGCCGCCCCCCGCGGTGCTGTGGGGGCCGCAGGGCGTGCAGGGGTGGCGGGCGCGCGTGCTGTACATCACCCGGCTGGGCGCGGAGCTGAGGCAGCGCCGCACGTTGCTGCCGGAGAGCCACGAGGCTCTGCTGCGACTGATGGAGGAGATGAACATGGAGGTGAGACCCGTGACTGGTTGGTGTGGAGGTGAGCAGCATGACCTGTGAGCAGCATGACCTGTGAGCAGCATGACCTGTGAGCAGCATGACCTTGGTGTGGAGGTGAGCAGCATGACCTTGGTGTGGAGGTGAGCAGCATGCATGACCTTGCTGACATCCATACTTCCTCTCGTCCATGCACCTCCTTTCCACCGCTCCACGGTCCCCCACCCAACGTCCACCAGCTGGGTCAGCTGCCCCTCAACGTCCACCAGCTGGGTCAGCTGCCCCTCAACGTCCACCAGCTGGGTCAGCTGCCCCTCAACGTCCACCAGCTGGGTCAGCTGCCCCTCAACGTCCACCAGCTGGGTCAGCTGCCCCTCAACGTCCACCAGCTGGGTCAGCTGCCCCTCAACGTCCACCAGCTGGGTCAGCTGCCCCTCAACGTCCACCAGCTGGGTCAGCTGCCCCTCAACGTCCACCAGCTGGGTCAGCTGCCCCTCAACGTCCACCAGCTGGGTCAGCTGCCCCGCCATCAGTTTCTGTACTTGTGTCCATGATGCCCATCCCACGCTCCTCCCACACACCAGGTGACCATGGCGGAGCTCAGTCAGCTGACGTTCAAGCAGCAGTTTGAGGCCATCCAATCAGCCGACATCATTCTCTCCCTGCACGGCGCTGCCCTCGCCAACCCACCGCTCTTCGCGCGGCGCACCACAGCAGTGATCGAGATCATGCCGTACCACGTGCTGCACGAGACCTACTACGCCATGGCTCTCAGTGCCGGCCTCCCCTACTTCATGAAGATGTGCCGCCACGGAAGCTTTCAGGGAGGGGATCGCGCGGAGGTGGACGCGCTGAGTCTGTACGAGTGCACACATGGGCACCCCGAGTGCAAGGAGTATTTCACTCACCGCAGGCGGGTGGAGCTGACAGAGGAGGATTTGAGCGACCTGAGGGTGATTCTCGGCACGGCGAGGGAGGTGGTGGCGGCAGGGCTGGGGGGGATGGGGGGCGTGGTGGGGCCAGATGAGCTGCCAGGGTGGGCGGAGAGGCGCTTTGGGGAGCGGTGTGTGGCGCGGGATGCGGGGCTGTTCTGCCGGAATGACTTTGTGCGCATAGTGGGCGGCACGGGGGATTTCACGTGTGTGTTTTCACGGGATTGTGAGGGGCAGGAGCAGCCGCAGTGATGTGATGGGCAACAACTTGTGTCATGTCTGTACTCGCTACTATGCATGTGGTGACAACTGTACAAACCCTGGCGTCCTGTATCTGTAACATGCCACGCTTTTTGTTAGGCCTGCTGGCCTAAGTCCGCTAAAGAATTAGCGGGGTCGACTAAGTCGAGGATGAAACGCGGCGGAAGACTTTGGCGAAAAGACTATTGGCGAAATAGGCGAAGAAGTTACTGAGTAATTGAAGAAGAGTTGAATGAGAATTGGTTGATAATGGCAAGTACAAGCAAGATTTAAAGCCCGAGTTGTATCTCCCAGTTTTCATGCTTTCCCAACCCTGATTGGTTGTGTTGCTATGTTTGTTTCCACGTTCGTCATGTCCGCACGCACCCTGATGGGTTGCACTCATTGGCACCTGACGGCTCACCTTGGTTGTCGCCCCTATCGTCAGCCTTCTAGTAAACTCTTTGTGTGGCGAACATGTGTGATGCTTCGCCAGGGTAGTCTCAACGAATAAAAGTCTCGCTACTCTGCCAAGTAGTGTTCAAAACCCAAAATACGAAAACCACTTTGCCATGCTGACCTCGGGTTTTAAGTAGCATGCAAGAACGATTGTTGGAAAGCAGTTTGCAGGCCTCTGGATAGGATTTGAGGTGCCCTTTGTCATAAGGCGAATATTCTCCTTTTGCTCTTTCTGTAAGGGTATGTTAATAAAACACACTATTTTGTAAAGGTTGGAATAAGCACTATGTATTGTTGTTGAAGGAAAGAAAGTGTGCTGGTTGCAAAGTTGGCTGTGTTGGACCTCTCCAATGTGAAGCACGCAGATTCTACACTCGAAGGGAGCATAATTTTGCGAATTTGAGGACATCTTGGAATGAATTTGCAAGAAGCAGCTAGGTACGTAAGTGTTGTCGTCAAATGTTGTAGCCTATAGTGAGGATTGTCTTAGGGGGTACAAAACTTAGGGTTAGCTATATGTACCTCAACCAACATCAATGCATCATTCATTCCTCATTCTGACATGGTATCAGTTAGGTTAGGATCCTGTGGGATCCCGTTCCTCCGTTCATCGTTCGTTCCTCCCAAGCCTGATCCTCGCTCTCGTACGTCCCGTTCCTGTAGCTACCGAGCCTAGCGGGGGCCCTTCCGCGATAGTGTTCGCTTTCTCCCGCTCCCCTTCGTCGCGGTGCTTTCCCCCGCCACGTCGCGCCCGTCCCCTTCCCCCCGTCGCGTCGCGCCCGTCCCCCCCCTCCTCCCGTCGCGTCGCGTTTCCCCCCGTCGCTTCGCGCCCGTCCCCCTCCTCCTGTCGCGTCGCGTTCCCCCCGTCGCGTCGCGCCTGTCCCCCCCTCCCCCCGTCGCGTCGCTTTCCCCCGTCGCGTCGCGTCGCTGCCCAGGCCCGCGCCCCAGCACGTTGCCCTGGCCCGCGCCCTAGCCCGTCGCCCAGGCCCGCGCCCCAGCCCGTCGCCCTGGCCCGCGCCCTAGCCCGTCGCCCCTGCCCGCGCCCTAGCCCGTCGCCCAGGCCCGCGCCCCAGCCCGTCGCCCCTGCCCGCGCCCTAGCCCGTCGCCCAGGCCTGCTCCCCAGCCCGTCGCCCAGGCCCGCGCCCTAGCCCGTCGCCCTGGCCCGCGCCCTAGCCCGGCGCCCAGGCCGCCCCCACGCGCGTCGCTGCTGCGCCCCACTTCCGTTTTCCACCGCTGCGTCCGCTCTTGTTGCCCGCTGCTTCGTCCGTCGTTCACTTCCGTTGTCCAAGGGTACTGCTTAACCCTAGTCTCCCACTCGCCTACTGCTGTCTCCTACCGACACTGTTGCGTTCGTTTCCGCTATGGCGACTCAGCGTGTACTTCGTTTCGACGCTGACGGTAGACCTCTTGATTTTTCCGTCTGGCTTCTTCGCGCTCGCCGTCTGTTAGAGAGTCAGGTCCAGGCAGGCGAGACCCTCTGGGCGCACGCTACTGGTGCCCTCCCTGCGCCCCCCGACCCTACGCCTTTAGGACCTGCCCCTGACGACGCCGCTAGAGCTCACTTTGCCACCCAGCGAGCTGACCAGACGGCTTGGACGTCGCGTGACGCTGCGGCCTGCATCGCGCTCAGCAGCCTCCTCCCTGAGTCTGAGGAGGTTCACTTCACTCAGGTTCGCACCGCTGCTGAGTACCTCACTGCGATTAAGGCCCGCTACTCTACTCCCGCTACTGTCTCTCTTGGCCGCCTGTTCCTCCCGTTCCTGTTTCCTGACCTAGCGTCTTTTGAGCGCTCTACTGACTTGATCGCTCACCTCCGCTCGCTCGACGCTAGTTACCGTGCTGCTTGCACTGAGGCACAGCTTGCACTGCTTCCTCCCCCTATGGCGATTACTATCTATTTCATCGCCACTAGCCTCCCTGACCGCCTTGCCTCCGTTCGTGACGTGCTTCTGCTGAAGCACCCTAGTGAGCTCACCGTCGAGGTCCTTGAGTCTGCGCTCAAGGACGTCGAGAGCAACCTTCGCTTGGTAGCCGCTGCCTCTGGTGCTGTGCCCCCCCCACTCTTCCACGGGTGCACAGCCTCGCAGTTACCCACCTTTACTGCCTCTCTCGCCACTGCCGCTACTGACGCGACTGCAGCTGCTGTTACGACTGCGTCGCGGTCCCGCGGTAGGGGTGGCAAGAAGGGCGGTTCTGGTGGTGGTGGTGGTGGAGGCGGAGGTGGTGGAGGTGGCGTTGCGACTGGCGGTGGTGGGAGTGCAGGACCTGGAGAGACGTCTCGTGCAGCGACAGGTGACTCTACTGCGCCTGCTGGTGGTGGCGACGCATGAGTTCGTCAGTCGCCTCCCGTACTGCCGGCCCCGGTGGGTGGAGCAGCGGCGTGGTACCAGGGTCATTCTGACAGTTGTTATACCAAAACACTCTGAAATATGAGGGTCATAAAATCAAACACTTTTTCTTGTATGGTTCTAAACAAAATCCACTCTGAAAAAAAAAGGGTGCAAAAGCAAACCCAACCTTATAGTAAGGGGTGTTTTACCCTTATATCGAGAGGCCTGGCAGTTTGTGGGACAAGGAAATGGAATGCTAGAAAAGTAGAGTGCCACGTGGCGGTTAGGAAATCTAGGAAATCCTTGGTGGATGGGATGAAGATAGGGTTGGGATAAGGTTGGGGGACTATTTAGGATAAACTACTTTTGAACAAGAAAGTACCCCATAACACTACCCCCCTCTCAAGGAGGCGACGTCTGCGGCGCCTGCAGACTGAAGGTACGTTCGAAGGCAAGCGTTGTCAGGAGAAAGCGAGGACGAAGGAACCCAGTTGCATCATAACCACGCCAACGAACAAAGAAGTCAATGAAGGAAACACCTCCCTGGAGACGGCGACGGTGTCTGACGATGCGCTAGATCTGGTAGTTGCGCTCGTCGGTGTCAACAGCTACCGGCAGTGGAGTGCGATCACGGCCCGAGAAGGTGGCGTTGGGATCGGTGTAAGGCCGAAGAAGGGACACGTGGAATTTCGGGTGCATGTGGAAATGAGTAGGAAGGCGGAGGCGGTATGCGATTGGACCTAGTGCATGCTCAATGACAAATGGACCAATGAAACGTGGGCGAAGCTTGCTGTCCTGTGGCAGTCGGAGGTTGCGGCTGTCCAAAAGAACACGGTCGCCAACTGCGAACGACACCTCACGACGACTGCGGTTGGTGGTAAATGCCATGCGTGCATTTGCGAGCTCAAGGTGCTTCCTCACGTGATCATGAATGAAGGTGAGATGCTGGTGGAAGTTCTCAGCACGTGGGACTGTGGGTGTGAGATCGACTTGAGTGAGGACATTGGGGTGCTGACCGTACAGTGCAAAGAACGGTGACATGCCTGTGGCGGAGTGGTGCGTGTTGTTGTAGGCGAACTCTGCCATGCTCAGCTTCTTGTCCCATGCTGCTGCGTCGTGCATCGTGATGCTGCGAAGGATCTGCTCCAAGGTCTGGTTCACGCGCTCAGTCTGTCCGTCTGTCTCTGGATGGTACGCTGACGACATGGCTAAGCGAGTCCCAAACAGTGCGAAAAGCTGCTTCCAGAACTTCGAAGTGAAACGAGGGTCGCGGTCGGAAATGATGGAATCGGGAACCCCGTGCAGTCGGACTACGTTATCTACGAACAACGTCGCATCTTCCTCTGCTGTGACCTGGCCGTGCGTGGGGATGAAGTGCGCTGCTCGAGAAAACTTATCCACTACCACGAAGATGGCATCGTGACCACTAATTGTGCGCGGTAAAGCCATGATGAAATCCATGGTAACTACCTGCCAAGGGCGGTCGGGCGGTGGAATCGGCTGCAAAAGTCCTGCTTTGCGCTGGCGAGAGGACTTCGTACGCTGACACGTGTCGCACGAGGGAGTGCAATCCTCTACGTGTGCTGCAAGCCCTGGCCAGTAGTACGTGCGACTAAGCGTCTTAGCCGTCTTGTCTGCTCCGAAGTGACCTGCACTAACTACATCGTGCGGGTGCCTCGGAAAGAAGGAGCTGTCGAAGAGGGCGGTAGGCTGGAACCCAAATCCGTGCTGTACCCTTCCGTATGTAGACACTACCCTGCACCTCTGCTCTTGTGGGCGGCTGTGCTGTGAAGTCGGGATCTACTGTGTAACTGTGCTCCAAGAGTGCTGTGAGAAGTGGATGGCCAGTAGTGACTGTGAGACTAGCGAGCTGGCAACTAGGGCGAGTGAGCGGATCTGCTGGGTTGCGCATGTCTGGCTTGTACTCTATCCTGTAGTGGAAACTCCCCTCCATGAACTCCATCCATCTAGCCTGGCGACGACTCAGCTGCGGCTGCGACTTGAGGAAACGAAGCGAGCAATGGTCCGTTCGTATAACACTATATGCCCCCTCTAGGTAGCACCTCCACACTTAATGCGCATGGATGATCGCGAGCGCCTCCTTGTCGTGAATCGTTTAGTTCAGCTCCGCTCCCCTAAGCTTACGCGACTCGTACGCGATCGGCTGCAACCCGCGTCCCTAGTTGCAGCCGGTCTTTGCCATGTGACGGCAAGTGTCGGTAC